GGAAGATCCCTTGAGGCCAGGAGTTCGAGGCCAGCCTGGGCAACATAGCAAGACTATCTCTACAAAAAAAATTAGCTGGGCATGGGAGTGTGCATCTGTAGTCCCAGCTACTAGGGAGGCTGAGGCACAAGGATTGCTTGAACCCAGGAGTCTGAGGCTGCAGTGAGCTATGATCATGCCACGGCATTCCAGCCTGGGTGACGGTGAGACCCTGCCTCAAATATTAAAAATGGGGTTGATCCCCGTCTCAAGTGTCTCTGGAAACATAAACTGAGATAACATGAAAAATGTTTACACACAGCTTGGTGAATAGTTGCCACTGGTGACACATATCTCTTCTAACTTATTTCATTCATGAAATCATCGCAATAAACCCGTGTCCCAATGTTATTCACCTTGTACAGCTGGGGCCGCTGGGGCCCAGAGAGGTCAGGCCATTTGCCAAAGATCACACAGCACACAAACTCTGTGGTAGAGCCAGGTTCTATTCCTACTATACATGACTCCAAATTCCATGCTCCTTCCAGTGTCACAGCACCCCTCGCACAGACTCCATGAGCCCCTAACCACACTCCTCCCCTTCCTGTGCCCTCATCTCCTAACCCTAATCCAGCCCTGCCCCCACCAAGTCTGTCTGCTGTGCCTTCTCCTTCCTGTACACTTGTTCTGAACTATTTTGGTCAGGGCCTTAGGTTGGTTGTTGGGTGGTACAGGCAGGGCCAAGGGATGGAAGAACCACTGCAAACACTGCCCAGAGCTGGAGGCCTCATCCTCCTTCTCTCTTCATCTCCCCCAACCAGCGAGGCAGCTGAGGGTGCTGCGGCCTCTGGAGGACGTAACCATCAGTGAGGGGGGCAGTGCCACCTTCCAGCTGGAGCTGTCCCAGGAAGGTGTGACCGGGGAGTGGGCCCGGGGTGGAGTCCGGCTGCATCCGGGGCCCAAGTGCCACATCCACTCAGAGGGCCAGAGTCACCAATTGGTACTCAGCGGCCTGGGCCTGGCTGACTCAGGCTGTGTCTCCTTCACGGCGGATTCCCTGCGCTGCGCAGCCAGACTCGTTGTGAGAGGTGTGGGTGCCAAGACCACAGCCTGCCTGCTGACTTGTGTGGCCCTACTCACCCCAGGCATGAATACTAACCCCCCACTCATGTGACCCCCCTGACTCTTTGGCCCTGTGTGGCCCTCACTGACATCCCTGCCAGAGTGTGACCCCCAACCCTTTGGCCCTGTGTGGCCCCAGAGAATCCTCTGCCGGAGTGTGGCCCCTGACTGCCCCAGGCTCTGCCAGCCACTGATTGATGAGCATGCCTATGCCACTGTGGTCCCTGCTGTCTGCCTGCCTGCACATTGCCCCACTGACCAACTGTGACCCTGCTGGCTACACTGCCTGCCATGGCTCCCTCTGCCTGCCTGAGTGTAGTCCCTGTGACCACTTCCAATCCACTGACTGCCTAGAGGTGACATCACTAGCAACCCTGCTGGAGTGTCCCCCATTTTTGCTTCCAGCCCCAGGATGTTCCCACTGACCACACCTGCTCCAGCACGTTGCTCATTGCTCCTCTGAACCCATTGGGTCCCCCAATGACCAGTGTCTCCTGCTGGGCACTCCGGCCACATGTGGCCCCACTGACCATGCCCACCTGTGGGTTACTCCACTGGCATCTCTGCTCGTTTCCCCATTGCCCTCTGGCCCCCAGCCTCTCCCCACGGAGCACCTTAAAGTGTGACTCCCAGTTGGCCACTCCTAACCCATTAGCCCTGTGCCCCTGCCATGACCCTCCCTGCACCCCCCTCCACTGACTGATCCTTCTTGGACCACTTGACCCAGCTCATCCCCCCCACTCGCTAGTGTCCTCTACTGACCCCTTGTGCCCAGGTGTGTGCCCTCCTTGTCCCTGAAAGCTGGGCCCCATCTTGCTCCCTCTGCACTGTCCTCTCTCTCCCACTCCCAGAGGTCCCAGTGACCATTGTGCGGGGGCCACAGGACCTAGAGGTGACCGAGGGCGACACAGCTACGTTTGAGTGCGAGCTTTCCCAAGCTTTGGCTGATGTTACCTGGGAGAAGGTCAGAGCCCAACCCCAGCCCAGCCGACTTCAACATAACACCAACAATAACAATGCCCTAAGAAATAACTAATACTTCTTCAGCGTGTGTGCCTGGCACCGTGCTAAGATTTGCATTACATTTAATCCCTTACTCCTTACAACTCTAGGAGGTAGGTCTTGTCATTTGTTATCTATGAGGAAACTGATACTCAGTGGGACGAAATTACGTGCCCAAGGGCAGACCAAAGAGGTAGTGCCCATATTTGAATCCAGGTTTGCCTAATTCCAGAATCCGTGACCATGTACCCCTGTGACTGATACCTGGCTCTGGGCTTTCCGTGCACCTTGGCGGCCCTAAGGTCCCCAAAGGGTGACACCTTCTCAAAGAGGTTCCTGGCACGGCCCCGAAGGCGTGGGACAGCCCGATCCCAGCTTGGGAACACGAGATACACATAAACTCGTCTCGAGACCCCTTGGCATCAACAGACGGTGCTGCCGGCCGCGCCCAGCCGTGCCCTCCCCGACCCTCTGCAACTCCCGCCCCTAGGACGGGCGCGCGCTCACTCCAAGCCCGCGGCTCCGGCTCCAGGCCCTGGGCACGCGCCGCCTTCTACAGCTGCGGCGCTGCGGCCCCTCGGACGCCGGGACCTATAGCTGCGCGGTGGGGACGGCCCGCGCCGGGCCGGTCCGCCTGATCGTGCACGGTGGGTATGGGGTGATGCGGGGACTGGGCACTGCTTTGGGCGCGAGACCTGCGGAGCAATCTTCCCGCGACCCTGCTGACCGCGCGTGCTTCTAAAAAGGGGGCGTGGGGGCGTGGCCAGCACCTGCCCTCCGCCCCGCCCCGCTCACGCCCCGGGTCCGCCCCAGACCGCACTGTGGAGGTGCTCTCCGAGCTGCTGTCGGTGAGTGCCCGCGAAGGCGACGGCGCTACGTTCGAGTGCACCGTGTCGGAGGCCGAGACCACGGGGCGCTGGGAGCTCGGAGGCCGCCTGCTGAGACCTGGAGCCCGCGTCCGCATCCGACAAGAAGGTCTGGCCGCCAGGCTACCCTTTCGGGCCCCTCGCTGCCCCGCCCAGGCTCGGACAGACCCCGCCCCGCGGGACAAGCCCCACCTCCGGCTCGGACAGGCCCCGCCTCAAGGCCCCAGAGCCGCGTCCCGGGTCTCTCCTCCGCCCCCAGCCCCGAGTCCCGGACCGCTCCTCTACCCGCCCCGCTCTCCGGTTCCGCCCACCTTAGCGTACACTAACGGCGTCCGAACCGACCCAGGGGCCTGCTGCGGCCCCACCCGCGTCCCCAGCGCTCCTCTGAGGTGGCTCCGGCCTCGCTAGCGACCCCGTCACCCCCAGGGAAGAAACACATTCTGGTGCTGAGCGAGCTGCGCCCCGAGGACGCCGGTGAAGTCCGCTTCCAGGCGGGGCCCGCCCAGTCCTTGGCTCTACTGGAAGTGGAGGGTAAGCACCAGGGGCGGGAGCGACAGGGAAAGAACATCCTCTCCTCTCCTGCCAGGGGACTGACGGACCGGGGGTGGCCCCGGGAACGATGCCTTCCTCTTCCCCTTCCCGCGAAGGGCTCTCCTGGGCCGGGTCACAGAGGGCACCGCGTTTCCCTGGGAAGAGGAGACTTTGGATTTGAGGTGCAAGGGAACGGACCGGTGGCATAGAGGGCTAAGGCCCTGAGTGGAGGCTGCAAGGAGGGAAGATGCGTCTCTTCTCCTGGGGGCCATGTGTGTCCCTATTAACTTAAGCTCCCGCCCCCTACCCTCAGCATTGCCTCTCCAGATGTGCCGCCGCCCCCCTCGCGAGAAGACCATTCTGGTGGGCCGCCGGGCCGTGCTGGAAGTGACTGTGTCGCGCTCGGGGGGCCACGTGTTCTGGTTGCGGGAGGGGGCCCAGCTGTGCCCGGGAGATAAGTATGAGATGCGCAGCCACGGCCCCACCCACAGCCTGGTCATCCGTGACGTTCGACCTGAGGACCAGGGCACCTACTGCTGCCAGGCCGGCCAGGACAGCGCCCACACACGGCTGCTGGTAGAGGGTGAGTAAAGCCGACTGGGAAGAGGCAAGAGGGCGAGGGCACCTGGGAACCGATGGGCTAAGCCACACCTATGGGAGGCTTTCTAGGACTGTGGTGGCGGCAGGTCCTGAAATGTGTTGGAGGTGGGGGTGGGGGAGGGGAGGGATAGAGCACACCCAGGGCTGGAACTGCTTGACTCAGATCAGCTGCTCCTAGTCAGCTGTTCCCACCTTTCTATACCCCTTCCTGCCAGGCTTCTCTCTCTTGCCACTGGACCATGTTTCTCTCTCTTGAACAGCCCCATTTCTACCAGTTCCTCTCCTCTGTACCTCCCTAACACTGCCTGCCTCCAGCCTGTCCCTCCTCCCTCCTGCCCATCGCAGTGAGTTCCATGTCAGCCTTGGCAGAGGCCTCTTTCTTTCCTCTTACACATGTCTCACACGAAGAGACATCCCACCTTCTATCCCAAATCCCAGCATTCCCTCCAGATGCTGAGCTGTGTCCCACCCCTAGCTGACCCCCACCTTCCAAGACAGCCCTGACAGAGGCCCAGAAAGGATAGGATAGAGCCTGTGGGCCCAGATCTTCCTGTGCTGGTGTCCAGGCTCTGCCTGGGGAGAGGAAGGTGGTACCCACTCTCTCCCCAGCCCCACGTGGAGTCATTCCTCTGCAGGTAACTAGGAGTACCGAACCAGGCCAGGCAGGTGCCCTTGGACAGCTTGGAAGGCGTGTGCCCCTACCCTGGGCAGGGGTGGAGAAACAGGGAGACCAGAGATGTCAGGAAACAATAAAAGTGCTACAGCTCATTCCCTTGGCTCTCTGAGTGATGTGGGAGGGCAGACATTGCCTGTCGCCCCTGTGCAGTGAATGACACTGGGGACTGAGGGCTGTAGTGCTTATACCTGGCCCATGAAAGTGCCAGCCACCAAAGACCACTATTCCTGGCAGAGGCCACGCAGTTTGGCACATTTATAAAAGATGTAAAACAAAGTGGGATGGGGGAGACAGAAGCATGAGGTGTCCAGGTTGGCATGACAGACACCAGACATGCACCGTGCATTTAAGCCCCTCCCCAACTCCCTTCCCAACCCAGCCTGGCCCAGAGCAGCACCCCCCACCCCCATCTCCTGCCACTGCCCTCAGGCTGGTGGCTTTGTAGAGGCCAGGGGACCAGGGTGAGGGGTGCTACAGTTTGCCCCACAGACAAGGACAAGAACCCTTAGATGAGTCTGGCTGGGAGGCAGGGTGATGGGGAGGAAGGCAGCCCCTCCGCGGAGACATGCAGGAGGTGGCCCATGGGACTCCGGCGGGGCGGGGAGGAGGTGGGACCCGGCCTGGAGAAACCCTACCAGTCAGAAATCTAAGGCAAGGGTCACAGTGTCCCCTCCAAGCCTGCCCCCCCACACACACATACACACACACGGGCAACACACTTACAACCCTGAGCACACCCCAATGGGGTTCACACCCCGAGTTCCTCAGGAGCCCCTTGGGAGCTTGGGAGGGGCCTTTCCTCTTAGGCCAAGCCTCGCCTGAGACAACCTCCCTTCTAATGATCAGGCCAGCCCTCTCCAGGCTGGGGAGAGGGACAGCCAAAGCCAGGGGCCTGGGTGACAGCCTGGCAGGCCTCCACGAGCTGGCAGAGCTGGTGACTGCAGAGTCTAGACAGGCAGAGATATGGCTATACCCGCACTGGGGGGCCTGAGCAGGCTGTCAGAGGTCCCCGGGACCCATACTCATAGTCCGCATCTGTGGGTGAGGCCATGAAGGAGCTCAGGGAGCTCCCGGTCTGCCGGTCTCGGAAGCTCTGGATATAACTCTGTGGGGGAGCAAACATAGGTGTGAGAGTCCCACTGCAGAATCCTGCCCTAAAAGCCCCCTCTTCCTGAATCCCCACAAGCCTGACACCCCTACAGACTGCCACAGACTCAGAGTCCACAGTCTTGAGACCCCACCACATACCATAACCCACTTAAAACCCATACTCAGGGTACAGTTCCCCCAAACCCCCCACCAGCTGGACCTGCCAAGCCCCTGGTGCATGGGCTGTGACACACAGAGAGTAGGCCTTCTAGATAGAAACCAGCCCATGGGGAAAGCCCAGTACTGTTTGGATAGTTTCCACACTTTTTTCTCCCCATTCTGGCTGGATGGGCTCAGGGAGCTCACCGGGGAGAGGACGTCTCCATTGAAGCGTTTGATGGGTACTGGCCTGCGCCGATAAGCAGGGTCTGGGGGCCCAGGCCTGGGAGGAGCCCGGGGACCTCTGGGGGGAGCCCGAGGAGGTCTCTTTTTCCGCCTTTTCTCCTTGCGATCTTCCTGCTGCCGAATCCGCATCAGTTGCACACGTCGGCGCTGCCGACTGATGACCACTGTGGTGGGATGGGCAGAGAAGGAGCTCAGAGGAGTGTGCGCCTTATTTCCCCTGAGCCCTCCCTCTCTCTTCCCACCTAGGGCTGCAGGCTTCCAGATTCCTCTTGTCCATAAACCCTTACTCCCACCCCGTCACTTCCTTTCCTGGTCTCCTACCTCTTGGAGGGGACTTCCCGCTGTTGCTCTGTTCTTCCATAGGTCTTTATGGAAGATTCCTAGGTTTCCAGTTACCCCCTTCCCAGCTGTCATCGCTCTCCCAATCCTCAGCCATAGGTGACTCACCTAGGCCACCCACCATCATCTTTCCACCGGACAGCCACAGCTGCTTCCTCACTGGTTTCACCCTATGCTTGCTCCCTCCAGTGTTTTCTACACTCGGCAGCAGAATGAGCATCCCAAAAGCAAAATTCGATTCTGTCCTCCCCTACTTTAATCACTCCAGTGGCATCTCATTGCCCTTCTTATAAAATGTGGAGTGCTTCTTAGGGCCCAAAGGCTCCACACAATCACCCTGGCTCCCACACCTCCCTCCCATACTCCAGCCCTGTTTCCTGAAACAAGCTGGCTCATTCCTTCTCAGGGCCCTCGCCCTTGCTGTTTCCCCTTCTCTAACACTTTGCGTGGCTGGCTCCCTAGCCTTCAAGTGTCTGCTTACATATCACCTCCTCCAAGCAGCCTTCCCTGACCACCCTAATTCTAATGGCTTCCATAGGTCCTCTTTCACATTGCCCTGCATATCTCTGTCATGTCACTCTACACAACTGGAATTATCTTGTTTGTTTGCATCTCTGTTACCTGTCTCCTGTCTGCCCCAAACATACACCCATAAGGACGGGAACCTTTTCTGTTATAGCTCTGCTGTATCCCTGGTGCCTGGAATGGGGTTGGTGCAGAGCCAACACTCCATATGTTGTTGTGGAATGAGTGATGGTACCTGGCTCTTATCCTCACAGATGATGAGCAAGTCAGCCCTCTACCGCCATCCAGGCCTTCTGCTGCTGTCCCACACTCCCCCATTACCTGGGCCCCCATCCATCCCTGGCCACCCACTCCTCTCATGTTCACCTTGGCCTGTGCCCCCTTACCTTCTGTATGGGAGTCCCCCTCAGCTGTCACCCGCCACTGCACCAGAACGCCCATCAGGCTGAGCAGGGGCCAGAGTGCCAGCAGGGCCCAGCTTCGCCAGCAGAGGGGGGGCACAGGAGCGGCCCGGAGTCTCTCCACCACGTAGCGCCCCAGCAGTAACAGCTCAGCAAAGTAGTCAGCGGCAGTAGCGATGAGCGCAGCACCAGTCACGGCGGTGGCCAGGGTGGTGAGTGGGCGGGGCCAGCGCAGAGTGAGCAGGGCACAGAGCAGGCCGCCCCCCAGCAGCAGCCCCAGTGGACCCCACACAGAGCCTGGCTGGTAGTAGGGTGCGGAGCCCAGCAGGGCAGCAGCTGCGAGCAGCAGGCCGAGCAGCAGCCCCACCAGGAAGAGGCCCACGCTGCGCACCAGCATGGCCACCAGCCCACAGAGCAGCCCGATGCCCAGCGCGATGCCTGCGCTCGCCCCAGCACTCAGCTGTGTCTCTAGCACCCGCTCTCGGTAGCACAGGAGGAAGATGACCACCGAGCCAAACAGCAACCCAGTGAGGAAGAGCACTGCCTTGAAGCAGCGGTAACCTGGAGGGGAACAGGGGCTAGTGAGGGGCCAAGATGAGGTCACCAGGCTGGAGAGAGCAGGTTGGAGGGGTCAAGGACATGGGATCCCAAGGGAACCGGAGACAAAGACACTAAGATCAGAGATTTGCAGGGTCATGAGGACATCAGTGATGGGGCCACTGAGATCAGGGGAAGTTAGAGAGAGATGGCTGTTGGCGGTCACTGGGAAAGCAAACGTAATCACTGAGATCACGATTTGGAGTCTGTGAGGGGTGATGTATTTGAGGATCAACGGAGTTAGGATAAATCTTTGGAATCAAGAGTGAATCTGTGCATTGGTATCTTTAGGATCATAGGAGGCAGAGAGCTAAATCATTGGGGTCCCAAGGTGATTAGCAAAAGAGTCATTGGGGTCTATGAGGAGGGATTGTTCAGAGAGAGGAAGTATTTGGAAATCATAAGAAACCTGAGAGGTGGGGTCACACAGGTTTAGAAAGATGAGGTCTTTGGGGGTCACAGGGCTTCAGAGGGTACCATTGAAAGGTTACAATGAGGACAGAGAAGCAGGGTTACTGGAGAGTTGTCCTGGGGAATTAAGGTATTTGTAGGTTAGGGAGATTGACAGAAATGGAATCATCGAGAGTATAAAAGGATTTCCAGGGCTCAGTGGCTCACACCTGTAATCCCAGCACTTTGGGAGGCTGAGGTGGGTGGATCATGAGGTCAAGAGATCAAGACCATCCTGGCCAACATGGTGAAACCTTGTCTCTACTAAAAATACAAAAATTAGCTGGGTGTGGTGGCTCATGCTTATAGTCCCAGCTACTCAGGAGGCTGAGGCAGGAGAATTGCTTGAATCCAGAGGCAGAGGTCGCAGTGAGCCAAGATCGCACCACTGCACTCCAGCCTGGTAACAGAGTGAGACCCCGTCTCAAAAATAAAATAAATAAATAAATAAAATTTTTAAAAGGGATTTCCAAGAGAGAGGAACACTGAGGCCAAAAACAAAGAATTATTGGGATCACAGCATGGAGAAAGGTGATCAGATGATGAGGTTGTAGGAATTAGAGAGGAGTAACCAGGGATCAAAGCTAGGAGTAACAGAGGGGATCAGAGGTGTAGAAGGTAAGGATATAATGGGAAGTGAGGAGATGTGGAGGTCACTAAGGCTTATATGAGGTCACAGGGAATCAAAGAGAACGAAATAGTGTTTGTGGAGTTTCAGAAATAAGGTTATAGGGCCATTCAGCCCATTAGAGATACCTGAAAGGGTCAGAGAAGTGGAGATCCTGAACAGTTGGGAAGATAGAAGTCAGAGATGGGGGTCAAGGAGTCAGGGAGAGAGCCAAAGAGAAAGATAACAGAGGTGAAAGGAGTGGGGGGGAAATATGAGATTCAAAGAGGCTCTGGGGTCAGAGAGAGGAGTAGGGCATGGACAGGGGCTCCGAGTCCATGAGCCTGGGAGTAGTGGCATTCAAGAGGGGTAGGATGTCAGCAAGCCCAAGAGAGGGAATATGAGGCTGCACTGAGCAACATGCAGAGGGAGTGGGTACAGATATGGAGGGGGTGAGGAGATATAGAATCCTTGGAGGCCCAGAACGTGTCCTGAACCCTTGAGGGGGCACTTCCTCCTGCCTACTTGTCAGTTGTTCAGCCCAGAGTTTGGGGGAGGAATGGGAGGGACCATCTGGCTCCCAACCCTGTCTACCCACCCATTGTAGGGGGAGGCTGCAGAATACAAGTCTTACATTACCCCTGCCCAGCCTGGAACCCCAGCCCTCAAGCCTCCTTTACCCACACTGGTCCCACTCACCTATAATTCTCCTCCTGGAGGCTTTCCTTGGGCCCCCAGCCCATAGAGCTCACTATTCTCTCTGAAGTTCTGTAACTCTTGCTACAGAGTCACTGGCCACTTACTCCCATTACACTGGGCCACTAGCCCATATGGCACCTTTATGCATATTAGAAAAAGTGTGCCTTTCTCTAGGCAAAGCAGCTTTGTACCAAGGCCCAGAGTTTGTCAGGTAGAACATGAGCTGGATTCCAGCCCCCACTTGCCTACTCAGATGAGCTCCCTTATTTAGTACCCATCCTGTATTCACAGCAGCTCTGATTACTGGAGCTGTGTGACTACCATCCAGACTGCCCTAATATGTATCCCAGGTATAAATGCTCCCTGGAGTCCAGGGGGCTCTGGGATCAGAGAGAAATCCCTGGAGCATTTACACCTGGTATACATATTACACAGGACATTACATAAATCTCCTCCCTGTCAGACAATATCCCCTGTGGTTAGGGACAATGTGTAATGACCCTGCTAAGTGTTTTCAGTGCCTAACCTAGCACAGTGACCCAAACACATCTTCACTACAATAGCTACTATTTGTTGAAAGCTTATTAATTCTCATAACACTATATGAGACAAATATTGTTCTCATTGTTCAGATGAGACAACTGAGGCTCAGACAGATTAATGTGCCTAACACAAGTAGTAACTGCAAAACTAAGTAAATTCAAACTCAAGTGTACCTAATCCAAAAACCTATGTTCTCTATAATCTAGAGTCTAGATAATCTATAAATTTGTGGGGTGAAAGAAAAGAAAGAATTATTCATGATGGTAGAGGGATTCAGAGAAGACTTGGGGGGGGCAGAAAAAGAACTAGGGGAAACACTGGGGAGCCCAGGTGAAGGCTGATGGGGATCTCACCGAAGAAGCAGTAGACGACTCCAAACAAACAGCACATGATGCAGACGAGGGCCGGCAGTGCCTGGTACCTGCGCTCCAGGGGCTGTTCACAAGGTGCACCCCAGAAGGCATCATCTGGCTCAGGGGGCAGCAGCTGGAACCGCAGTGTTGCCACAGTCCCTGGCATAGTGCTGGGAATAGAAGGGAGTCACCCTCCCAAGTTAACCTGATGAGGGAAAGTTGGGGTCACAGAGGTGTCCTGGGTCCCCACCAGGATGGGAGTGGGAGAGGGATTGGGAGAACTCAGCAAGGAGAGTGGACAAAGGAGTGGTATCCACATTTGTGCAGCTCTGGAAGCATCTCTGGAGTGGAGAGCAAGACAAAGGGAAACAAAAGTGCTTGGCTAGAGGAGGCTGGGATGAAGTTAAAAGAGGGACGAGGGTCGGGGGTATGATGGCAGGGTGCCGCTGGTGAGAAGGAGGCAGCCAAGAGGTTCGTCTGTGGGCGGCTCAATATGGGATTGTCCAAGATTTACCTGGGCTGGAGGCGACCTGAGCTTCTGAGTGAAAGAGGCTGTGCAGAGGCCCGAGGGGCCGGGGTTGCGGGGCGCCAGAGGCTCCAACTGACTGGGGTCCAGGGAAAGTCCGTCGTGCGGGGAAGGGGGCAGCTGGGCCGGAGAGACTGGTCTCGGCGCGGCAGCGGCGCCGCTCCACCTCCAACACCGGCTGGCGCTCCAGTCCCGCGGCGTCCCGGAACTCGGGCTGGGCCTGGGGAAAGGGAAAGAGCAGGAGCCGGGGCTCGGGCCGCCCCAGAACCGAGGCCCCATGCCCTGAGCCCGCCCGCGGCCTTTGGTGCTGATGGACAGCTCCGGCCTCTGCTCCTGACGTCACTCAGGGCGCACCATCCAGGCAGGGGCGGGCTGCTTCTGACGTCACCTGGGACGCACCAACCACGCCGCAGGAGTCAGGGGACTCCGCCCCCGGCGTCTCCCTCTCCTGCACTGAGGAGGGGGCACTTCCGGGGGTCCTTCCCCTTTAACCTCCCCCTTCTCCTCCCTCTCCGGTAGCTGGAGCCGGAGACCCCACCCCGGGGGCGGGGCCCTCGCGGTGACACGTCGGACAGCGGCGGCAGCGGCTGAGGCTCAGGCGCCGAGCACAGGGACCCCGCGCAGCCCAGAGCAGCTGCAGGAGGGGAATCGAGGCGCAGCCTCGGAGATTCGGCTCGGGCCGCTGGCTCTGTTCGGCGGGGAGGGAGCGGGCCCGCCCGCGGGGCCCGGGCCCTCCGGATCCGCCCCCTCCCCGGTCCCGCCCCCTCGGAGCCTCCTCTGGCTGCTCTGGGGCTTCGCCGGGGCCCGGGACCCGCGGTCCGGGCGCCATGCGGGCATCGCTGCTGCTGTCGGTGCTGAGGCCCGCAGGGCCCGTGGCCGTGGGCATCTCCCTGGGCTTCACGCTGAGCCTGCTTAGCGTCACCTGGGTGGAGGAACCGTGCGGCCCAGGCCCACCCCAACCTGGAGACTCTGAGCTGCCGCCGCGCGGCAACACCAATGCGGCGCGCCGGCCCAACTCGGTGCAGCCAGGAGCGGAGCGCGAGAAGCCCGGGGCCGGCGCAGGCGCCGGGGAGAATTGGGAGCCGCGCGTCCTGCCCTACCACCCCGCACAGCCCGGCCAGGCCGCCAAAAAGGCCGTCAGGTAGTGATCGGCTGCGCCCGCTCCACCCCCTGGGCAGCGGCCGGGACGCGCGCGGGGAAGCCGCCGGGCCCGGGTCGGGCTCCGGAAGGAAGGGGCTGGCCGGCCAGGAAGTCTTTGGGCCCCGATAACTTCCGATGGCCCTGCCTTCCCGAGAGTCTTGGGGCCACTCCGAGGCTTTCTCTGGGCCTGGGCTGAACTTGCTGGCCTGTATTATAAACCGGCTCGATCCGATGGCTCCCCAAAGATCGCACTAGCTCCCTGGCAGGGCTGCTGGGGTTAGATAAAAGACTTGTATATAGAATAAGGATATAGAGACAGGGAAAGAGAAAGGCAAGAACTAGGATTTACCTGGATATCTTGTTCCTGAGTGGGTTACAAGGGCCACCTCAGGGTGAGATGGGGGAGGGAGGAATGTACCCATCCCGTTACCCATTGATATCTCTGCTGATGAGTGGAAATAATTTCTAAGTAGCATTGCGTTCAAATTCTGGTTCTGCAGTTTACCTTCTGCCTTACCAAAGGTAAGTTCCTGGCATCCCTCAGTCCAGTTTGCCCCTCCCCGCAAAGACACACACTCACCCCTATGCCAAATGTTCCTTTATATCATTTATGTGAGGAATTTTTGGCATAATGGCGTATTTATATAGAAATGAGTAGATACATGGTGTGTCCAGCATTTGGCTGGGTGCTTAAAACGGATATTATCAGTCCCATTTTACAGATGGCTCAGGTTAAATAACATCCACAAGGGTGTAACTACTAAGTGGCGAACCCCGGAATCAGACCCACAATATCTCTGCCCTATCTGGGTGGATATCGCCATCTCCCAAATGTAAAGCACTACCTGGGTAAGACCAATATTTCATTTAAATCCTCGTGACCCCTGGGAGAGAGGGTTTATCCTTATCCTATTCACAGGTGAGAAAACAGATGCAGAGAAGACGCAACCTGCCAGAGTCTGTGCTGACCGCCCCCGACACCCCCTGTCCCGTTGTCTTTTTGATAACTTTGTGCCATCTCCTCCCCCAGGACTCGCTACATCAGCACGGAGCTGGGCATCAGACAGAGGCTGCTGGTGGCGGTGCTGACCTCTCAGGCCACGCTGTCCACGCTAGGTGTGGCCGTGAACCGAACACTGGGTCACCGGCTGGAGCGTGTGGTGTTCCTGACGGGTGCACGGGGCCGCCGGGCCCCACCTGGCATGGCGGTGGTGACGCTGGGCGAGGAGCGGCCCATCGGGCACCTGCACCTGGCGCTGCGCCACCTGCTGGAGCAGCACGGCGACGACTTTGACTGGTTCTTCCTGGTGCCTGACACCACCTACACTGAGGCACACGGCCTGGCACGCCTAGCTGGCCACCTCAGCCTGGCCTCCGCCGCCCACCTGTACCTGGGCCGGCCCCAGGACTTCATCGGCGGAGAGCCCACCCCAGGCCGCTACTGCCACGGCGGCTTTGGGGTGCTGCTCTCGCGCATGCTGCTGCAGCAGCTGCGCCCCCACCTGGAAGGCTGCCGCAACGACATCGTCAGTGCGCGCCCCGACGAATGGCTGGGACGCTGCATTCTCGACGCCACCGGGGTGGGCTGTACTGGTGACCACGAGGTGGGATGATCAGCTACCCCACTGATATCTCCTGTCTTGATCAAATCCTGCTGAGAGGCAAAGGGGTGGTGGAAATACAGGCCCGGTTTTCCATGCCAATTCAGACATTTGTTTTCCATTCCTGTGACCCCGGATAAATTACTAAATGTCCTGGGCTTCAGTATCTTCCTCTGTGCAATGGAAATAATTATTGCTCGGGGTTGTTACAAAGATGAGAGAAAATAAGGGAGCTCTGTGCATAATAGGCATTCGATATCATAATTTTAGCCCTTAGACAGCTCTGAGACAGGACACATGCCCATTTCGCAGCTGAGCTAGCAGAGGCTTGCTGGAGGTCATGCAGACTCACAACTGGTCAAGGTAGACTTACACCCTCAGACTGCAAGGCCACAACAGGTCATAGTATGAGACGCTGACTGTGAGACAAGGGAAGGCAATGCCAGCCATCATGAACCCCTTCCCTTACTCTCCCCAGGGGGTGCACTATAGCCATCTGGAGCTGAGCCCTGGGGAGCCAGTGCAGGAGGGAGACCCTCGTTTCCGAAGTGCCCTGACAGCCCACCCTGTGCGCAACCCTGTGCACATGTACCAGCTGCACAAGGCTTTCGCCCGAGCTGAACTGGAACGCACATATCAGGAGATCCAGGAGTTGCAGGTATGGTCTAAGCCTGGGGGTGGTGGGTGAGGGGGACAGGATCTGGGAGGTCACAGAGATCCCAGAGACGTGAAAAGCTAGCCCTAGAATCATAGAACAAACCTATTCCCAGCCCCTGCCTGTTTTCTACATTCTCTGATGGGCCTCCAGGGCTCTTAGGCTGCCTGTGCTGGGGAAATGATAGCTATGGGCCCTGGGTGGGCCGAGGTTGGCTGGGGACTAGGGACCCATCCTGAGTGGCACCTGCTGCCTACCCTTTCCCCAGCTGTGCACTGATGCCTGTGGTCTGTCCCTTGCTTATGGCCTGTTTCTCTGATCCAGTGGGAGATCCAGAATACCAGCCGTCTGTCCATCGATGGGGACAGGGCAGCTGCCTGGCCTGTGGGCATCCCAGCACCATCCCGCCCGGCCTCCCGCTTTGAGGTGCTGCGCTGGGACTACTTCACAGAGCAGCATGCTTTCTCTTGTGCCGATGGCTCACCCCGCTGCCCACTGCGTGGGGTGGACCAGGCTGACGTGGCCGATGTTCTGGGGGCCGCTCTAGAGGAGCTCAACCGCCGCTACCATCCAGCCTTGCGGCTCCAGAAGCAGCAGCTGGTTAATGGCTACCGACGCTTTGATCCGGCCCGGGGTATGGAATACACGCTGGACTTACAGCTGGAGGCACTGACTCCCCAGGGAGGTCGCCGGCCCCTCACTCGCCGAGTGCAGCTGCTCCGGCCGCTGAGCCGCGTGGAGATCTTGCCTGTGCCCTATGTCACCGAGGCCTCACGTCTCACTGTGCTGCTGCCTCTGGCTGCGGCTGAGCGTGACCTGGCCCCTGGCTTCCTGGAGGCCTTTGCTACTGCAGCACTGGAGCCTGGTGATGCTGCGGCAGCCCTGACCCTGCTGCTACTGTATGAGCCGCGCCAGGCCCAGCGTGCAGCCCACGCAGATGTCTTCGCACCTGTCAAGGCCCACGTGGCAGAGCTGGAGCGGCGTTTCCCCGGTGCCCGCGTGCCATGGCTCAGTGTGCAGACAGCCGCACCCTCTCCACTGCGCCTCATGGATCTCCTCTCCAAGAAGCACCCACTGGACACACTGTTCCTGCTGGCCGGGCCAGACACGGTGCTCACGCCTGACTTCCTGAACCGCTGCCGCATGCATGCCATCTCTGGCTGGCAGGCCTTCTTTCCCATGCACTTCCAAGCCTTCCACCCAGCTGTGGCCCCATCACAAGGGCCTGGGCCCCCAGAGCTGGGCCGCGACACTGGCCGCTTTGACCGCCAGGCAGCCAGCGAGGCTTGCTTCTACAATTCCGACTATGTGGCAGCCCGTGGGCGCCTGGCGGCAGCCTCAGAACAAGAAGAGGAGCTGCTGGAGAGCCTGGACGTGTACGAGCTGTTCCTGCACTTCTCCAGTCTGCATGTGCTGCGGGCGGTGGAGCCGGCGCTGCTGCAGCGCTACCGGGCCCAGACATGCAGCGCAAGGCTCAGTGAGGACCTGTACCATCGCTGCCGCCAGAGCGTGCTTGAAGGCCTCGGCTCCCGAACCCAGCTGGCCATGTTGCTCTTCGAGCAGGAGCAGGGCAACAGCACCTGACCCCATCCTGTCCCCATGAGCCACTCCTCCCCTAAAACCAGAGCCACCTGCCAGCCTCGCTGGGCAGGGCTGGCCATAGCCTCAGACCCCAAGGTGGCCCACTGGTCCCCTCTCTGGCTTTGTGGGTCCCTGCACCCTGGACAAGCAC